TCCTGAATGGAAAGGCAACTTTTATTCTGAGCAGAAACATTCAAATGCAGTAAGTGATTAAAAGAATTAGAATTGTGGTTACTTCATTTTGTATTTTAAATCTCTTGGATTAGTAATTTTAATGATTATCTGTTAAAACAGTAGAATTGTGTCTGAATAAACCCTTTGTACTCATTCTTAAAATCAGTTACACTTAAAAGCCTAAATGTTCTAAGACTCAGGCTGAAGGACTAATAATTTGAAATTATTCCTAGCAATGTAAACTGTAAATTGCAAAGCATAGGAATTAAAAGCTCTGGATTCTCACACATAAGAAACTCACCCAATGATCTCTGGTATGTTCTGTCTTACAGTGAATAGAGGACTCTGTACTTTGGTTTTGTAAGAACCTGTCCTTAGTGCATGACACTTAACTCATGGCATGTGCAATATCTTCTTTTTCTTAAAGCTAAAACATATTTTTAGGTATGGGGGAGAGTAATTGCTCTTGGAATAGAAAACCTCTGCTGCACAGGGAGACAATGCTGGCAGCTGCTGCAATATACCAAGGTCAGTATTGAGAGTGATGAGTTAATCTAAAATGACTTTAAGAACATTTTTTCTGTGTCTTTTTTTATGACCTTTGTGTAAAAAAAAACCCAACAACCAAAAACCTAAACAAGCCCAAAGCAAAACCAAAAACCCCAAATACTTCAGAACAAAATGCCATTATCATAAGCTATTTTTAACCTTAATTATAATGCCAGGATTTGAACTGTATTGATGCACCAGTATAAGATACTTTTACTGTCCCAAATCTTTCACCAGGAGTCATTATGACAAATGTGATGTTCTGAGAACTGAGTGTTTCCTGGAGCTGACAGCCTGTACCTTCTCTCTCTCCCTTCCTGCCCTAACAGAAATGTACGGAAACAGCAACGGCTCCGTACCTGCCACCTTTCAGATCTACTACATGATTGGCTGGAAATACCATGAGTCACAGGTAATGTCAAGCTTTTATTTTCTCTTTGAAAATAATTTAAATAAACGATGTTTTAAAAGCTTTTTAAGAAACATTTTTATTTAAAATTAGCCCTATATATTGTTTTTTTTTTTCCCTTAGGCAAAACCAGCCCAGCGAGGTTCTGCAACAGTTTCATTTGGAGATCTGGCAAAAATAGAAGGACTTCTTAAAAGAGGAAAAAAATAGTTGCTCTTCAGAAATAATAATTGTCTTGAAACTTCTATAAAAGTTTTAATTGCAGACAGTCTTCACTTGTGCTTATTTAGTGATGACATCCTGAAATGATAATAAAGTATGCACAATAGAGGTTTTTGTACTGTGCCACAGCATTATCTCTGAAATTGTGTTAATTTTTTTCTTTCTAGATAAATATATGAGCAGTCTGCTCTCTCAGGTCTTTGAGAGAGCAATTCAACTCATAACTTTTTATTAAATTTACTATTTTCAAAAATAATGCCTCTTTCAGCATTTCAGTATCACAGGCTGCTCCAGGTATGATTTACATGTCTTGAATGCATTTTTTAATTATTTCTCAAGGATAGTAGATCATAGTATAAAGCAATGTATTATAAAAGTAAAGAATGGTAGCAGGTGTATTTATGAGACAACCTGTAAGAGAAACTATCAGCAAATACAAATACACAAATGATTATGGTTTTTATGAGCAGTCTGCTCTCTCAGGTCTTTGAGAGAGCAATTCAACTCACAACTTTTTATTAAATTTACTATTTTCAAAAATAATGCCTCTTTCAGCATTTCAGTATCACAGGTATGGTTTACATGTCTTGAATGCATTTCTGAATTATTTCTCGAGGATAGTAGATCATAGTAAATAACAGTGTCTTACAAAAGTAAAGATTGGTACCAGGTGTATTTATGAGACAACCTATAAGAGAAACTGTCAGCAAATACAAAGATACAAATTATTATGGTTTTTTTGACTTGGGAAGTATGGGTAAAAAGTTACTGTAAGAGATTTGAATAATTTTTACTTTATCTAAATATTAGTTGAAAATTATATTTACACATTACTTTCCACTTTTCTATGTCAGAGGCTAAAGAGAAGAAGAGTAATTTTCTCTTTAGCTGTGCCATGGAGCTATGACTTTTCTTTTCTATAACTGGATTACCAGAAATTGATATTAATTGCAACTGTGACCCATTAGTATGAGAGGTTTGGAAAAAATACCTGCCCAGAGATTTTGCTTGATTGTAGCACTCATAGAGTTGAGGAGAAACAGAAAGGATAATGTCTATACAACCAATTATAAAGTTCCATAAGTTTTATCCTAGTATCTGAGTGGTATATCAATCCTGGTGGAGCTTAAAACTTTTTTAAGTTCATTTCCTAGGCTTTTTTAAGATTATCCACCAGGTGGAGTTTGACAGAACTTGTGCATAGCACAAACCCAACAGGCCAGGTAGGCAGAACTCTCCCCATCTGTCAGGTCCTGATTTGGGGAGTTATTTTATTGACCAGGCTTTGACTTTGAATAAAAAATGGGCAGAGAAGGTACACCTCATGAGAAGGAGGGCAGCAACCTTCTGTCCTGTTTTTGCTTACAAGCCTAACCTGTAATTATTTGAGGGAAATCAGTTCATTTTTTGCTTTCCTAGAAAAGAACGGTAATTCTGCTGGAAAAAGGGGGAGAAACTAAATGGTCTGATAACCTTTAAAGCTCTCTAAAGACTAAATCTAAAACAAGAGGTTGTTTCTGTGAAAGCTTCTGTTTTTTTAATACTCCATCAGTGGACTTGGTACAAAATACTGCATCACTCTACAGGTCTTCTCTGGCTAAAATAAAATTCCCTTGTTTCTGGAGGAATCTCTGGTTTGCTAGATGTAGGTTTCTGTGAAGTTATGTGTCAAATTAATGTAACTTTAGAAATCATTGCTTTAGTAGGTTAATTTCCAGTCACTTGAGCTGGTGGTTGTGACTCAGACTGTGTTAAGGGAATGAGGAGGTGGAATGTGCTGGCTAAATGTTAATTGGAGAAGTGCTCCTGCTGTGCTCCTTTGAAGTATCCAAGTTATGGGGAAAAGGAAGGATTTCCAGTTCTTTGATTTCATATTTCATAGATGGCATACATAAATAGTAAAGTGTTTTGGTAGTTGGGAAACATCTTCTGAACAGGGAGAAAAGGTAAGTAGCTTTCATCCTAGCCCTTGGGGGGGAAACAAGGTGCAGATAATCTGTTAATTTGGAAAAGGGCTGGGGAGTAATAGAAGTAAGGAGTAGTAAATATGGCATTGGTGGAATGTGGGTTGGAATTAGAGAACATGTAACAGGCAGGCAAGGTGTTAATTTCCCTGTCTTATGTTTGGATACCTGCCTTTTGTGGGGGTCTTTAACTGCAATTATGGGGTTTTTTTTCTATAGTACTTCTTGGAGTTCTAGGTTACTCCTGGTTTCAACTAGTTGCTTGAATAAGCTACTAGTTTACTATGAAGAGATGTTTTTGTCACAAGGCTCTGTTTCATTTTAATTCTTTTTTTCAGATTTAAATCTTTATGGCTTTCTAAAATTGTAGTGAAGAAGAACATGGTTACCAGTTGCTGGCCTAGTACTTTGTGTGCTGAGAGCTTTTTCAGAGTGAGTAACTTCTAAAAAGTAGTTATGAAGGTGATGTAATGTCTCTTGTAAGCTTGGTTAACTTAAGCTTAATGCATAATACAGAATATTTTTCTCCTGAATACAGAATGAGAAAAGAATTCAAGGAGATTATTATTTTGATTAATTAAAAGCTAGCAGCCCATAAATAAAATAAAATTAAGCTGAGAAGAAGCATGGTTGCACTTAATGAACGTGAGTATTTTTATTTTAGAGTTTGAGTCACAGATCAGTAAGTATGCTTGGTCTGGTCTTTGGTTGCAAGATCTGTCAATGTATAGTTTTATTCAAGTCTGTTTAGTATAAAGGAATGAGATACTGTACTTTCAAGACTAAGAATTTGTGAAGTTAAAACATGAGATAGGATTCTTCATTACCTCTAATTTATAAAAATGTCATCAGCGGAAGTACAAAAGCGAACCATGCAAAATTAAATTTTGCTGTATTTCTTTACACTGTTCAAAAAAGAAAAATATGAATGACACTCTTTTAATGTTTTCTGGAAAATCTAGGAGCTAACACTGAGCTTTCAGTTGCAGGGGGAGAAACACACCAAGCTTTCATATGGTGTTTAATTGGAATTTTCTGAAGCAAGAACCTGATCTCAGGGATTAAATTCATTAGAGCATCTTGTTTAAGAAGCTGCTTTTTAGAAGGCTAGCATGTGTGTTAAACCTCTCAAGTTTTCATTTGTCTAACCCAAATATTTAATATGCACTTTTCAAAGATGTGTCCATTTTTGCCCAGGTTTTGGAGCCATTACTTTGGAGAAGTGCAATTATTGTAGTCCTTTGGTTGGAATCAGTCTGAGTACTGAAGCAAGTGTGATTTCCTTAATATCTTGGGTGCTGTCAGGTGAAAGAAAAGAAAAAGAAAAATGAAAACCTGAGATAGGTAAGTTTAGTTGAAGGCTACATATAAGAGTGAAGCAGAAGACACCAAAGGAATGCATTTGCTGCTTGTAAGGGAAAAACAGCTCATGCCTTACTTAAATCAAGTTAAAATTGAAGTGATTTGTTGATTTACTGATAGCATGTAATTAACTGTTAACTATACATGCAGGATTAATAGCAGCAATATAACAGATAAATGATTACTAGACCCTTACAAAACCTTAGTAAACACCTTCACATACCTAAACACACTCCTACAGCAACCCCCACAGCTTCCACCCTCAAATTTGCAGGTAAATGCTCACCTCTGTCCCTTTAACAGTAGGTTTTAGTGCTATGAGCCCACCCTTCTCAGAATATGTTCCTGTGTGCATCCATCACCTGAGGAGATGTGGATGCTGTGGCTGCATTCTCACCTGGGCTGTTCCCATCACCTGCTAATCCACCCAGCTGTTGGGGCAGGACCCCAAAGGTGACACCCCAGGATTGAGCCCTGTGTTCTCAGCCCACTGCCAGGGGAGGGTGTTCCCTCAGGCCTCCACAGAGCTTGAGGTGCCAAGGGCACCTTCTTTGTATCAGACCAAGTTTTCACTGTTTTTTTTCTCCTTGTTAAAAATGTTAGTGCTTTTTATATTTAATTTTTTTAGCTGATTTTTCTTTCCCATTTGAGGTCTCTTGATAACTGCCTGATTACTATTTCACGTGGCAGATAGCTATCTTCATTTTCAGACAATCTCAGCAGATTTTAAGCAAACACCCTCTCAGTACTGGATGTTTTGTTCACACATATTGCTCATGTATTTCTATCATAGCAGCTGATGTCCAGGATTTTTTGCCACCTTGTACTCTGTGTAGCTTTCCCCCATTGTTTGGAGCTGTATCTTGGGGTACAAGGTACGTTGATAAAGGAAGAGACAAATACCACAGAAAAAGTGTTCCTGTTTGGAGCCTTATTTTGAAGCAGTGAACAGTGTTGCTTTATTCCAGTTCTAGGTCTATTGATTGCTTTAATTTGATACAGAACTTTCATTTGTTTCAGAATTCTTCATGTTATTTCCTAATGTCAGTTGCTTTCACTTCTGTAATTAAAAATGTAATTTCCGTCAAGTACCACTTCAGATTTGGTGATTGTATTCCCAGTCAATTTCTTTTCTGACTCAAAAGCAGGCTGCCCAATCTTAGAGTAATATTGCAGTTCTGAGGCAGCAGCTATAGTAAGTTTTACTTGGTAAACTAATGCTGAACTTCATAGGTAGCTAAGTTCAAAATATAAGCCAGTCAGAACTCAGTATCCACTTAACAGAGATTTGCATAGTATCTTGTCCAGGCCTGACTTTTTGTCTGTGATTTTTTTCTTACCTATAATTGTTTCTGAAATGCTAAAAGAATAGCTGATCTGGAGCTACTGCCAGGAGATTTTGTTAATCATATCTCAAACAAAGCATTCCTCAGATGATTTTGCCTCCAGGATTCAGCTTCGAAGGCGTTCTCAGGAGGAGCTGCGGTGCTGTCACAGCACTGTTGAGTCAACAGACGTAGAGCACTTGTTTGATGCATGGATGACTGATCTTCAATTACCACCTTTCACAAAACAAATGAAAACATCTGTTCTTTTATTTATATGTGAGTTTTGCAAGTAGTTGTGTACAATTTTCTTTTGTTTATTTTTGCTGTGTGTGTTCTTTTTCCCTCCTGACTCACTGAATCTTCATTGTATGGAAAGTGAAACTTTGAGCGCTGAATGGATTGGGTGATTGCATCTTTATTCAGGTTGGTTTACAGTGTGGTGGCTGGTTTTTTTTTTTGTACCTAAAAAATTATTATCCCTTAGAAGATAGCTAAACACGGAGTTTTAAATTAAATTCTATCCCAAAGATATGGCATTAAGATAATAGCAAGAAACTTAAGGCTCGCTTGAAAAAACACCTCACCAACGTTAAGATAGAAGAATAGTTTACAAGCAGTAAAAACTACAACCAAATGAAAAAAATCACTAGCATAACTACAAATTGTCAACAAGAGTGAGACTATAATAGTATGATTATTTATTAGCCTATGTTTGGAGCAGACTCAGTTGTTCTGCTTTGGGAAAGAATTCAGGCTTATGAACACAAAGGCTTCCAAAGTGCAGGGAAGTGTTTCCCTGCAAAGAGTTAGTAAATCTTCACAAATATAAAATTACTCAGTCCCTGCATTCTTTTCTGGCATTTTCTGCTGGACTGCTTGGCTTTGTTATACTGGCTCTCCTAGATCTCTGAATAGTCACATAGAGACTGTGTATAATTTTAGAAGTCTTGAGAATTGAAATCAGAGCCCCTCAGCTGTAAAAAGGATCTGAGAGTTAGATCACAGAATGGCTTGGGTTGGAAGGGACCTTAAAGCTCATCTAGTTCCAACCCCCCTGCCATGGGCAGGGGCACTTTTCACCAGAGCCCCTGAGTGCTGCAGCAGTACAAATGGTTCTGTGCCCCTACATTGAGTCTCTGCTTTTGAGTATTGCTGAATAACTCCATTGAACTGCACTGTAAATATTGTTGTTTTCAAGCAGTTAACCATCTTGAAAACACATCAACATGACTTAGTTAGTATAACACTTGATGAATTTACAAATGAATCTTGGCATAAGGCAAATGCGTTTTAACGCTGCGGTTTGTCTGCCTGCTCCCTGCATATTTATTTTCAACTTCCAGTTGATTAGCTGCTTTGTCTTGTGTGTAGAAATGGCCTGTTTAATGCAGTGGGAAGTCGAGTAGAAGCCAGCATTTGTTAATGGATGCTTTGAACAGGCACAGTCAGACATTTTAAATTATTCTAACTAAGCAGGAATTCTAATTTATTTCTAAAGATAGAAGTACAACAACCCAATTACCTAGTTTTCTCACAGAGTGTAATGAGTATAATTAGCATAAAATTGGTCTATAAATTTAATGGGCAATTTCTTGTGTGGACATTGAAAACACTAGTAAAAATGTGGCAAGCTCTATTAGAGTCCATATAGTAACTTGTTCCCATTAGATGCTTCCTTGACAGAAGGCAGTACTGTAAAATATCAATCAATTCTGTTCTGCACAAGGAGTTTTTAAGCTATTGGTTCAAACAGGCATGCCTGTAGATTTGAAAATTCCTTCAATCAGAGAATTTTTTGTGGGTTGGCAGTAGGGTTTTTTACCTTCTAAAGATGGTATTCTGGCTATAAGTTCTAACTTGTAGTATATGTGAGAATATGGCCAATTCTGTGTGTAACCTCATAACAATAGCTGGATCAGTTGTTCTAAATGTAGAATATACACACAGCTAACAATAAAGATAATAAAATGCTATTTATTTACTCTTGGAAGTGGAAGGGGTGCTGGAGTCCCACACCTGATGCAGAGATTCTCAAATAATGATTCAGGCTGCTGCCAGCCCTTGTGCAGTTGGTTGGATTTAACCAGCTGTGGGGCATTTCAGAAGTTCTAGATGATGGAAATCAAAGGATGGTTTTCCCTCCCTTCTACAGCTGATTTGTTCATGATGGGGAATTCTCTATGTAAATGTATTTTCATCTAGTACAGTAAACTCAGACACAGCAAAGTTTCAGTGGCCTGCTGGGGCTAAAGTGGTGAAAATGAATGCTGTGAGAAAGAACACATACTTAGAAGAATATGAAGTTTCTTCTGCTTTGTCTGTTGCCTAGAGAGTGAATGAACAAAAAATCCAACCCTGAGGCTTGAAGATTAGGACCAAGTTCTTCAAAGTATGTTTTCATGATGGATTTTTGATTTCACTCTAGTGCAAGCTGACATTACTGGAAAGAGACGTAAATGTAAAATTCTCTAAAACAAATTTGCTAATGATGAAAATGCTTTAATTCCTTCAGGAGTGCATCCATTTTAAAGGTATTTTTATTGCATTATTTTGTTAAGTACAATGAATAAAATTATAGCTGTGACTGTGAAAATAGCAAGTTATTTCTTGTGCTTTAGAGCAGCAACTCTCTTAGGGATTTATGCCCTACCACACCTTTCCCTGTCTGATAATTTCATAGAGTGTACTTGCCTGCCTTCCTCTTTTGCCTTATCACTGAGCAAATGAAATAGTTTGCAGGTCCTGGGCTGCTTTGGAGAGCTGGTGGGCCACTGTGTGTTCTCTGTGACTAGCAGCTGCCAAACAAGCTGGGCAGTGTGCTCAATTTACTTGGTTGTAGGGCCATTAAAAGATGTATCTTTACATTTCTAGGATTTAAATCAGGGCAATGTAAATTATTTTATCAAAATATATTAGCTTGTAATTAACAATTCTGTTCCAGGTGAAACCCTAAGAATGTTAATCCTATGAGATTACTAACTTTGATTTATTAAAGAAGTAGTATTTAAAGTAGGTATTCTAAAAAATGGGGTTTTTTTAACTTCCTGAACTCAATGTGAACCCCACAGCAAGAGGAGAAAAGCATGAAGCAGTCCATTGCTGGCCTCCCTCAAACTGAGCTGTACTCTGCTAAAATAGAGCTTCTTAAGGAGGAGAAGTGTTCTCAGGTCTTTTGTTCTGAGAGAGTCACAGAAAAGATAGGTCAAAGTTTTAAATAAATCTCTTGGGAGAGTGTATTCATATCTTACCTGGTAAATCAGTGCATCTTTCTTCAGCTGAAGATTGAAGATGTGATTCTATAATAAGGGTGTTTTGGCAGTAGAACTTGTAAGAAGTTAAATATTTTGTTGGTCTGTGTAAGAATTTAGGTGTGTTTAACTTGGAATGTGAGAACCACCTCACTTAATCCAGATTATAGGAATAAAGTTGTTCACAGGCAGTGCAGGAAAGGGCTGATTTTTGTGGCTGTGCTCACAGGGGTACCTGCTCCCACACCCCAGCAGTGTTTCAGGGCTGCCCTCACCTCTGCAAGCAAAAAACAAAACAAAACAAAACAAAACTGGATGGGACTGTGTGTATGTAACCCCATCTGGCTGAAGGTATCCCTGCTCTTTGCAGGGAGGTTGGACTAGATGGTCTTTAAAGTGCCTTTAAACCTAAACCATTCTATGATTCTGCAGTCTTACTAAAGTGGAAATTATAATTATTTCTCCCATCAAATGCTTTGTGATTGACAAAATAAAACCAGATATAAGCACAAAGCAAACCCCTGTTTCCCAAGGAGTTTCAGAAGTTAAAAATAGATACATGGATGAGTTTGGAAGTTGGCTGCAAGGTCAGGTAAGTAGAGCAACATTATTGCTTGTAAAAATAATTGTGTTGATTTTTCTCTTCTATGAATTTTTTCCAGCACAGGCTTTTACCATCTCTTGGAAGCAGAGCACTTGTGCTCTAAAATGAATAATTAGCTGTTGAAGTAGGTCTGTGCTGTGTCAGTACTGTCTTCCACTTGTCTTCTCTTATGTAACAGAGAAATTTAAACTGAAATGGGGAAAAGTTACTAAATCCTATACAGAGGTTTAACTTTTAAGTAAAAATGGGATTGTGATGTTAAAAAAATGCTGCTTGGAAAAGACACCTTTCCTCCTAGTGTTCTCCTAGTAATCATATTTTCACCAATGTTCTTGCAGAACTAAATTTCTGAGTATATTTATTTTAAAAAAAATATAATTTGAATTCTAACATGTTGCCACTAACTGGCTATTTTTGCAAGATGGTACAACGAGAAGCAAATAATTTAATAGTAATAAGGACATTAAATTCAGCATTCTATGGATCATATATGGTTTATATTTTAGTAAAATTTTAGTTTATTTTATTTTTTACTAATGTACTTTGCATAAATGCTGAATGTGATTACTCTTTTTTTGTCTATAGTTGCAGTTATTGCCATTTGTATTAAGCTGTTTTGAAACTTGTCCAGCTCTGTGGAATACAGCTAACTGTATGTTTCTATAATACACTTTTTTAATTAAAAAGCATAATTATTTATAAAACAAATTATGGAAATCCCTGTTCTGGTAAAATTAATTCAGTAACACGATATAAAACTAACCACAGGAGAATGAAATCTGTGTAATTTGGAAAGGTACAGCTCTATTAGAGGAATGTGTGTGATAACCATGAAGAACTGTCTCTTTCACTGAGAACTGGAATAGTGAAGACAAAGGAAGGAAACGAAGGAGAGAAAGATCACTCTTAACCTAAATGTTTAAATTTACACTCAAAACTAATGAGAGACAGCTTATTACCAGCCCAAGATTTTAAAAGGTAAAGTATCATATTTCTCATTAACCTTCTTTAATAATTTAGATTTCATGCGTGTTTTTCCATTTCACCTTTTCATGCCCTGCCTTCCCCTTTATACACTGTAGACAACTCTGCTAGTTTTTAATTTCCAAGCTGTGTTACTTAGAGGTACTCAATTATATATCATTCTCTCCATTTACTGAATGACAGTGCATATCATTTCTGCATTGATTCATATGTTAGGTTGCCACAAATGCTTAGGCTTAAGACCTTGATATTAATTCCTTATCCACAGCTATTTATATCAGGAAAACTCAATTGTTTGAGCAATCTTGGAAAGTAAACGCAAGAAGTGCCCTGATATCATTAAATCAAATTCACTGAAAAGGATAAGAAGGAAAATTTGTGCAAAGTGAAGATACATGGCTGCAGATCTGGATTTTGGTTAGACATGGAGACGAGCCTTGTAGCCTGCTTGAGCTCAGGTATTTTTGTTGCTTATGCAGAAATTAGTTGCATGTATAATCTGACAGCAGGTCACACAGCAGATTGGCTTGAACAGATTTGGAACTTTGACCTCTGGATTGCCAACTCACTGCAGTTGGTGTTTTCCTTTGCTGCAGGCATTTGTTACTGGTTTTAAAGCTGGTGATTATTATCATCTGCTGTACTGAAAGGAAGCAAAGGGTATAGCTACAAACAGTGAAACTGTGACCAACACATAAATAATGTCATTGTCCTAAGCAGTCCCAGATAGTTGCAGGGATGGAAGTTTAGGCTCCTGATGAGGGAGCCTCTGCAAAGGAAAGGCAGAAGGCACAAAGAATTGAGGAACAAATCTTAATTGTACTTTCTGTTTGCTCCTTGTTGCTCAGGCTCTGAAGTGCCAAGGTTGCCAAGTGGCTTGAAAATTTCTGAGACTATATTTCCTAAGTGGAATAAAAGCAGTACAGAACAGCATGTTTGTTATAGTTCTGTGTTTAGCTGGAATGTAGAGGGACTTCTGAGGGCAAAACCCTTGTTTTGGGACCTGACTCAAGACAGCATTTCTGCTTCCTCTTCTTGTTACCAAAAATAAAAAGCATTATTAAGCAATGATGTTTACAGCTATGCCAGGGAAGCTGTATTGCTTCCATTGATTGCACAGAGTGTTGTCAGAGAACACTATGAAAAGGACTCAGAAACCTGGAACATTGAGAGAGGACAGCTCAGAGGGCACCACAGGCTAATCTGAGATATCAGTTCCCATAAGAGGCAGAGACTTTTGAATCTGAAAATGAAAAGCCTAAATGTCAAAGGTAAAGGAATTATAAAAGCAGCTGTCAAGGGTGGGGTGGTCAGCAGCTGGATTCCCAAAACACCTTAGGAAGAACTTAGGGTGACAAGCAGGAAAAGGGGTACTGTCAAAAGCATCTACTATGGTCTCAGGATCAGAGAGAGAGAGGAAAACAGAGGTTAAAGGTTTTTTTAAAAAACGGGTTTATAGAACAACATGAAAAGAAGGCAGATAGGATTTAGAAACAGCTTTGCTAAAGGAGAAATCAATTGAGTGTTCTAATGATGGAAGGTGAAGGACAAGTTTGAATGAGGGAAAAGGGATCTGACAAACTTGAAACTTTCTTTTTGTTAGTTAGCTGGAGGTGACAAGGCACTCCTTCAGTTCTGGTGCTATAAATGGGAGCTTGGAGTACAGCCAGGAGATATTTAGATCACTCAAAGGCAGAAATTACTTTTGGAAATACTGAGAATAGGTGATGTCATTTAGGTGAAAGAGAGAAAGTGCACCAAAAGAGGTAGCAGAAAAAGGAAATCTGTCTTTTTATCACCTTATTCAATCGGGTTAAGTTTTAGGAGGAGAAGTAGTTATTGCTTCTCCTTTCTCCTTTGATGTTATATAGACTGATAAGTGCAGTCATTGAAAATATTAAAAAGTTATTATGAAGATAAGATTTGGACTTTGTCATCCTGGTCACTCAGATATGTCAAATTTCAGTGAAGGAAAGGAAAAATATGTAGTAGATTGAAAAGGATTAGAAGTAGTAGAACAACATGAATTACTTTGCTGTACAAAACACTGAAAAAGTTTTGGAGAGAGGTTGACTGGAACAGGTTCAGTGATGAAGGTGAGAGGCTGAAAATGAGAGGAGACAGTGTGGGGAGTGATGTAGGCTGACTCCTGCTCTATGTGAAATGCATGGTCAGCTCAGTATTTCTTGGTACTGTGAGCAAGGTTGAATTTTAGTTCCTAAGAGGTGAGGGGAAAATAAATTTCCTCTCCCAGAGAGGATGAAAACCAACTCCTGTGGCTGCTGCTGCCTTCCAGAGAGTGAGCAAATCTGCAGCTGTTGTAGACAAGAAGTCAGATGCAGTGCCATGGCAACTGCTCTGAGACCAAGCAAGTCTGCCTCTTCTTGCTTTCTTATGTTATGCTTTTTCCATCCCATTAGTCTAAAAGGTTATTTATCTTTTTCTCCCTCCCCCCCAAAAATTGCTTGCTTCGATAATAGTGTACACAAATGAGAAAAGACCTTTCTTATGTTATGCTTTTTCCATCCCATTAGTTTAAAAGGTTATTTATCTTTTCTCTCCCACCCCCCCAATAATTGCTTGCTTTGGTAATAGTGCACACAAATGAGAAATCATTCAAATTGTTAAAGAGATATAAGAGCACAGACAGGGATTAAATCACTTGAGAAGGCATCAACAATACTGATTGTTTTTAATGGAAAGGTGAGAAGGTATGTTTCTGCTTTCTGAATAAAAACTTTTCCTCAGTACAAAAGTAAAATTAAGTCTGTCATTAGGACTGGTTTAAGGATACAGGTGAGGAAGTACTTCAGGATATTTGTTTTATATTGGTAGTTTTATACCATACAGTCCATTTGTTTTTGAAAGCTCCAGTAGAGTTGTGCTGGCTTGAAAGTTTCTCTGAGTTTTCATGCTAATTGATAAAACTGTTTTGTGCCTGGGGTCATCAGGAGCTCAATATCTGTCTTTGGAGCATCACCTCCTAGGGACATCCTTCAGAATACTGGAGAAGCCTTGATGACTTCAGTAAAAGACCCAAAAGATATTTCATCTTAATTTGAGAGCTCAAATGCAAGAGAAGCTACCACAGGCCTTATTTGCAATGATTAATTATTCGCTATTTTTAAGAGGTGAACCTTACTTCCAGCCTTAAATCTGGAGCTTGCAGCTGTTGCATTGATTATGGATTGCTGTGTAAGACTGTAGCCCTTCAGAGTAAAAACTTACCTGAGAGTGGATGGTGATCAAATTATATTTTAACATAATTGGGTGAAAAAGAAAGTAAATGTCTTTAGAGCTGCTTATTCTTTAAATAGCATTTAATTGCACTAAGTACTGTATATTTAACAGGGAAGATCTTTTTACCAATTTGCCTCAATTTTTATGCTTAATTTCTTTCAATTTTTTGAGGGGATATGATAACTTTTTTTCTATAAGAGATTAATTTAGCTAAAGACATTTTTTTTACAGTCAGCTTTACTGACTGTAGATATGGTACAGAGTAGATAACTTTTGATGCAAATAATATTTATGTATGGTGATTATGTAAATGAGAGGTATGGTTGCACCTCAGGATGTGAAAACCTGCTTTCTTTTACAGCTTTACTGACTGTAGATATGGTACAGAGTAGATAACTTTTGATGCAAAGAATATTTATGTATGGTGATTATGGATTATGTGAGAGGTATGCTTGCACAACCTCAGGATGTGAAAACCTGCAGTGCATCATTTTTAATATGCATAAAGCTTCATAATACATGCTATTTTGTGAACTGATCACAGAATAAATCCTTTGGTGAAGAATAAGTGCATTCTCAGAACCAGATGTGGATTGATTTCACCAGTATGAGAAAGAAAATACACAGTACAGAAGTTCTTAGGGCAGCACTTTGGTAGAGCTGGACAAAAAAGTAGCAGTAGAACTGAGTGAGGTTTTGCACTTCTGCAGCACAGCTAAGCAATGAGCCAGACCTTAATGTTTTAATATGCATGAAGTATTCTATGCTTTAATTCTATGCTTTAATGAGATCATGTGCTTTGGCTCTGAAGATTGTTAGTGCCCTGGTGAATAGCCCTTCAGACTTCAGACATACAATGAGAATTTTCTTCCTCTTTCAATTCTTCAACTTCTTGGATAGAATTTATTATTTCCCTAAATATAAGCAGCTGTCAAAATTCATTATATATTATAGTACCAATTTTTGCTATTTTTAACTCCATCTCATTAAGTAGATTACATGCTATCCTTTTGTAATTAAGTGCAGATTAAATATTATATTAAAAACATAAGAAATTACACCCTTTCAATTTGCATTATGAAGTTTTTAAAGGCAAAGGAACTTGATGTTCTTTCCAGAAATGTTGGTCAATAAAATAAATATATCTTCTCCTTGTTGATGTGACTGTAGAATCAAAAATGCCAAGATGAAATGTGCTCTGTTCTTTCCCACTTAAATTCCATTCAAAGATAATTCATTTTTTGCTTATTTTATCCTTTCATTCTTTGGGAAATAATGACTTCCTTCCAAGAGTTTTGTTGGATATGCATTATCTGGACACCAGGAAACCTAAATATTAGTAGAGTCAGGGAACAGAGAAAAAATGGAAATCTAGCAGGGGTTTACATATTTGCATAATAAAATAGCATTTCTATTTCCACCAGCTACATAGAGTGAAACCAATCCATGGAAATTACTTGTAAAAATTCTTCATGTTTTAAAATTTGATCAAGACAAGAATAATGGACCCAAAACTTTGTTCATATGAACTTGCAGAGTCCCAAATCTACATTCAACCTATTTAATATCAATCAGTTATGACTCTCTATAGAAATAAGAGAGGGATTAGTTCTTCCATAGGTTTGATTCCCACCTAAGACTTGCATCACCTGTGAAAGCTCTCTGCCTTTACTGCCCACAAGGCAAGGCCACTCTCCTGCTCCAAGTGCCCCTTGAAAGCCTAAAGCTGGGAGAATGTAAACTTGGTGGTCCTC